AGGTTTCATGCAAAATGAGTGGATAATGACATTCAACTTTGAACTGCATTCTATTCCCAAAGGTCCTTCCTCTTTTTTAAAGATGTTTAAATAAAAATTTAAAAAAATAAGAGAAATTATCAAAGGAAAAATTTTTGGCGTGGATTAAAAAGGAATCCATGCAAAGTCATTAGTTCATCAGCAACTGTTTTTAACTTGCCTTCTGGCTGCTTACATGCTTGAATATAGTTTGGTACTCATTTTTGTGATTATTGTTATAGAGAAATGTTTTTTCAGTTCAAACTATACATTTTTTGTACCATTTGAATATTAAAATTACCAAAATGCTCTAAATGAAACTGTCTTTTATATTTATTCATTAATGGTGTTTTGCTAATTTCAATACCTAGACTGCATGTAAAATGTGCAATCCATACTAAGAAACACCTTTCTCTTATTGTTATGATCATGGAAAATTTTGCTAGTCTATTCTTCATCCTTTATTACAAATTTTGCTTTTAAAATTGGAATGGTGAAATTCTGAGTCATTCATTCCTTGCTCAAACCCTAAGAAGGGATTAAGCCCCCTTACATTTCTTTTCCCTTCCACTGGAAACAATCAGACTTGCAAATGCAGGCAAAATTTCTCAACATTAAGCAATGCATTATTAAAGTAATGCTGAAAGTGAAATGGACAGGAGCAAGGCAACAGCTGCTTGTAGGAAACTCAGTAATTTCATGAGATAATGCATTATCCTCATCCATGAGATCTTTTCTTTTTATAGGGTCACCATCTTATGGTCTTTTTCTCACCTACCAATTGCTTCACTTTAGTAATCAATTATTATGATCTATGAGGGATTCATCCCCCACTATTATTTTAATTGACAGTTAGGTTGTTTCTCTTTTTCCTTGTTTTCCTTTCTTGGTATTGGCCATCACATTTAGGTTGTCTTTGATAGGGGACTTCAAGATGGGTTTTGTAAGAATAAACTGTAAATAAAGGAGTTTCAAATTTCTCCTCCTGTAAAGAGAGGAGAGATTGTAGTTAGAAAATTAAGGATTTAAAAAAGAAGAATTTCAAAAATTACTTTTTGGTGGGGAATAAAATGACAAGCTTTGGTATTGCAATGAAAATTCTTTTCACATGAAAAGTCAACTAGAAGAGGAATTTGAAATTCTCACATGATGGATAAAAATTTGTTAAATTGGTATTCATTAATTGAAAGCCTTGATTTTAAAGTCAAGATTAGGGATTTAAATTTTATCAACAAGTAACTATTGATAAATTAAAAAAAAAAAAATTAAAGAAAGGAATGTTCAGAATTCATCATATTATTTAAAATTAACTTTTTGAATAATTTTTTTTTTAACAGCAAAAAATAATATTTATTAATAAGCAGAGTACAAGGGGTACTCCAAACCCATAAACATCATAACTTGAAAGGTATCATATTACAGGAGTGAAGTAACCTTTCGTATGGTGTCAACTTTTTGAATAAACTAAAAGCAATAGGTAGTTCCCACGCAAAAGCCCAGTGGCAGCCACTAAACTTTATGGAGGACACTGGCTGGGACATCTAAGGTTCAAGTCCTGGCCTCCCCCATTCCCTCACCAGTTACCACATAATTGTAAATAATTGTCTTTGTCCAATATATATATATATATTTGTACATATATACGTTTTGGTAGAATTGTAAACGAAGTTCACAATTTTGGACTAGTTCAGGGTCTGAGATTGATTGGGTACTTAGTATAATGATTTAAAACTAAAGATTGACTTGTAAAAGTTTTATTTAATTTAACAATTGATAATTATAATTTGATTATTAAATTAAACAAAATTGTTAATAGTTTATTTGGTTTGAGAAGAGAGCAAAGGAGGAAAATTTACTGTAACCAAGCAAATTATTTCATTGGCTCAATAATTTAATTTGATTTGGCTCAATAACCTAATTTGATTGGTCAAAATAATAAATCTTCTCTTAGTTTTTCTTAAACTATAAGAGTTATATAAAACATTCGAAATTTTTTTTCAAACTTACTTAAAATCACTTTTAAAAGTTAATTTAATTTTTAATTTGTAAAGAAAAAATTTGCTTTCAAAACAAGCACTTTTTAAGCTAATACGTCTTAAGCTTGGCTAATTAAACATCTTCTACATATGAGGGAAAGGGCTATTTCGGTATTTCATAAAAGTTATTTGGGCTGTTCTTTTTACGGCCCAAGCACAATCCTGATCTGCATCAACAGAAATTCATTACGTGGCAAGATCTAGACCGTATACACTCATCAAATCATTTTCACTTTTATTTCTTCCTTTCTCTTGAACGAGAAGCGAACGTGATCACCACTCACTCAATCACATTGAAAAACGTACGGTCCAGATGACACCACACCACACGGTCCCACCGTCACATTCCCTCGGGCCCCACCTCACCTGCCCCCTATTTATTCCCCTCTCTTCATTTCCACCTCCCCCATCCCAACTCGCAACCAGCGCTACAAACTCACTCTCCCATTCAATCACCGTAGAAGATTACAATCGAAGCGAATTTCGACCGACGGTACGTCGTTGATTTGATCGGAAAATGTCGTGGCAAACGTACGTCGATGAACACCTGATGTGCGATATTGAGGGACTTGGCCACCATCTCACCGCCGCTGCCATCATAGGCCAGGATGGTAACGTCTGGGCACAGAGCTCCGCCTTCCCTCAGGTATTCATTGTTTCTTTTCTCCGTCTTGTTTATCGCTGCCTTCTTTTGGATCTCCTCGTTTAGATTTTCGATTCTGTTAATCAAGGATCAGATTGTTTTATTGTTTTGTTTATAAAAAAAATGCTACAGTTACAAACGTGAATTTATAAACATACCTGATGTGTTATCATATGATTGATTCCTTTCATCTAAGGTCGACTGAGTAATATTATATGCATCTTACACTCATTTAATGCCACAATTGTAAGTTTACGACAATAGTGGCATTGTAATTAT